TTTATATATGTATGTAGGTATGTATGTATGTATGTATGTATGTATGTAGGTATTCAACAAGTGTGGAAATGATCTTGCAATCATGAATTTTGCATTATCAGGATTTCTGGCTGGGAGAGGTTTCTCAGAATGTTCAACCAAATTCTCTTGGAATCTCTCTTTAGATTTTCATGTTGTATTTGCAAAGCTTAGAACTGGTATATGTTAGAAGGCTGGAGGTGGCCCACGTGCTCCTGTGTCTACAGTCTGATTGCTTGAACAGAGTACTTATAAGCAATTTAGATCCTAGATGACTGAATTGTCACAGAGATAGAATGTTCTGACAACCAGCACATGATCAGTTTTGACCACCTTGACCTCATGGTCACTGTAAATGAATACTTAATGTCAAAGATTACAAAGATCAAAATAGGATTGTTTTTGGAAAATACAAGGTAATTGATTGGAAGCTGCCCATATCATTATTTAACTTTTTCATCTTGCTTACCATTACAGCCATGGAAATGTTGGAAATAAGACTGAGTCCAGTGGGGTTTATATCCTATTACACCCTAATAAATGTGTTCAGGATTACAACATACATAGTTACAGTATAGCAAAATAGGAATTTGTGAAAGGATGTGGTGGAAGCAAGGATTGTTTGTAAAGACAGAAAGATCTACTGAATGGTGTTGATATAAACTAGACTTAACTATATTTCCTTGTCATATCTCATGCCTTTATTTTTATTTGTTTTAGATTTATTACTCCACCTTTATTATTTTTAGAAATAACTCAAGATGGCAAACATACCATATATTCCTTCCTCTTCCTATTTTCCCCACAACAACAACCCTGTGATTTCTTTGTCTTACTTCTTCTTACTCATTTTCACAATGTTGTTTAAAATAGTAGCGTAAATACATTATTGTATGTATGTATGTAGGATTATAGCCTTGGATGTTCAGACATTAGGCTTTCATTTGCAAACATTCAAACTAAATATTTAATAAGCGACAAGCTAAGTAGTTAAGGACATATTCCATCAAATGCAGTATGTTTTGGTTTGAATTGGCACAATTTCCTTAGGAAGTTTTTCAAGTGTTGAATTTTAGTTTATAGTTCTTTGCACCTGCTGAGCAAAGTTTTAGGAGACCTTTTCTGATGTTCCCCTATTATAAAAGGTATAATAATGATGGTGACTCATTCATCTTGAAGACTAGTTCTCATACTACATGGTGGCACGTTATGATGCTTTTACAGAATCTAAATACCGAGAACTTCTCTCACTGTCTTTGCCTCTATTGTATGTGTGGATACTGTGAGGTGAATGGGACAGTATAACGAGAGCTGCTTAGGGCAGGAGCAGAAGGAGAAGGCTGATAAATAGAGGTGTCCAACATATTTGGAGGGTGAAACGATCTGATCCTTAGGCAATTCCAAACTTCCTGGAAGCAATTCTTTGTTGTTCCAGCCTTACCGGAAGTGTTCTGACATCAGAATGAACTCTTTTGATTGCCCAGAAGAGAATATGACACTTTGAATTCAGAACTTTTTGGGTAACATCAGAATTGGGTTGGAATACTTCTGGTAAGGTCCTTTTATGGTCTCAGATTATACAGAGTTGTAGCCATTCAGCTTTAGCTCCTGTGAAAAATAGCCTGTTATATTTTATTAATATTTTATCTTGGATGTGGAGGGATAATCAGAGAAGACAGGACATGGTGAGGCAGCAAGGAAAAGTTGAGACATACATTCTCTGTTTTCAGTATTTATTGGAGCTGATCTGAATCCTCGCTCTATGAATGGAAACTAATGACTCACAACACCATTATTGTCTACAAATCCAGTGGAAACCATATTTCCATGGGATAAGCATTCAAACTGTGTACCTGAGTCCAGATGTGGCCACAGACTAGCATGTGCTCAGCAAATCATGTGCTAAAACCGTCTTGATGGAAGACACATGCTATCACTTAGAAGCCAGAATCTCATTTCATAGTTTCTCTAACCCTTGAAAAAATGTGAAGGGTTTTTTTGTGGGGTGGGGTGGGGAATGTTACCTTCATACAATCTCAGTGTAAAAACAAGAGTGGGAATCATATAAAGGATTTTTTTCCCCTGTTCAGGACCATATTGGGAAGTTTTGGCAAGAATATCATGTTGTCTTGGTTAAACGTGTAGGTCTGCTGGAAGAAGCAATCCAAAACAGATCTAGGGATCACTGCCTGGATTGGATTCATCCCATAATGGGGCATCTGTTGAACTGTGCTTCTGTGAATGGCTTTTCTATATATTTAGAAGAGCTGGATTTGAGAAGATTAGCATTTTGATTGCCATGTCATTTTAAATGAATACCAAAAAGTTTTGCAATCCAGTTTTGGGTATAAATGTGTATGTACATTTTGTATCTTTAATGAAAGAATCCTAAGGATGTATCAGTACAGTACATGTATCCCTGGGTTGATGGGGTGCGATCAAGAGTATGTTGGCTTGCAAAGTAGTTTATAGTTTAGAAATCTTAGTTTGCATACTACAGCATGAGCATGTATGTAATAAAATTGGGATTTAGTTGGAATAGTGGCTTACTGGCCAAATGTGTCTTGTTCCTTAGCATTAGCAGGGAATGATCCTTGTGGCACAGGTATGTGGGTAACCTAGTCTATATCTTTATCTTATTAAAAATATTGTATGAAGGTCTCAGTTGACCAATGCCAGTATATGCAATATTCCATCTGATGATAACTATGGCATATGAAAGATTACGGCTTAAAATATAAGAAGAGAAAATGATAAAGGAAATTAATTAACAAAGGAATGAAAGAAGCAAAAATAGATTTGTTGTATGTCTTTGAAACAAAGAGAAAAGAAAAGGATATGATCTGAATGAAGGTGTTCTGATTGTGTGCAATAGAATTTTTCTTATGCATAGGTTTAATTATGAATAAAGGGTCTAAAGCATGTGCCAGAAAGTATGCAGTGGTGTCATCTGAGCTGGTGTGGATGCTCATGAAAATAAGAATCCATAATTTGTTGCTAGTTATATGTTACTCTTGAGTGAATGACAATAATTGGAGAATAAATTGTGGAGGGGGGGGGGAACTGTACAACATTCTGAATGAATGTGAACCAAGGGAAAATTATTCTGTTAGGTGACACAAATGGATGGGTGGGAATGTGACAAGAGAGCACAAAAGAAGTGATTGGGCCACTTGGAGATCCAAGAATGATTGAGAATCATGATTGTTTGGTTAGTATTTGCTTAGAAAGACATCTGTTTCAAATACATGGTTTCAGTGTAAGACAATTCATATGTACTCATGGCAAAAGTATTCCCATGAGTGATTTAATTGTTTATGATAAAAGATTGGGACAATTACCGTGCTGTTGAAAGATTCTGACTATGGGTGGAACCGTTCTTTGTAGCATCAAGAATAGATCTTGGGAAAAAGTGGTCATGGAAGAAAAGGAAAGAAGTGAAACAAAATCAGGCAACTGCAGGAAGAGATGAGTCCTGTATGAAGACGTATTAGAAGATAGATTAATCTTCCACAAAACGAATGGGAAGTGGATGAAAAGAGAGAAGATATGGAAGCTGCTTGGACCGAATGAAAAGAATTCAGTTCCCATGTGCCACATCAGTGTGCGGAATTATTGAAACACTTGAAATGAGAAGTAATGAAAAAGGATGCTTGATGGAATGATGAAGCTATGGACAAGAACAAAAACACATGTAAGAAAATGAGGATGAGAGAAACATGCTGTACAGCCTACATTGAGAGAAAAAATCGAGAGTAAGGAACAGTTCAGAGGCAGAGAAAATACAAGGTGATTTTGACTGAAATAAAAAGTTGTTTTGGAAGTGAGAGAAGAGGGTTAAAGAAAGAGGCTCCAGCAGAGTGAATGGAATTAAAAATAAAAATGATGAAATGATTTGGGGTGAAAGGGAAATAAGGACAGACTGGAAGGAGTATTTTAGATATTTCTAGGGGAATGAGAAATGCCAAAAATT